TTTTTAAACGAGTTAATGTCGGATTCAAGTGATGAAGATGAGAATGTTCTGTTACTTGCAAGGGGTCCAATGGGTAATATTTATAATATCATGTGTCTTTATAAAATATTACAAAAATATCTTATTGTTTTAGATATGCGCCCAAGAGTCCAAAATTATATTGATAATGTTGTAGATGAATACAGTAATGAAGAGTTCATGGACAATTTTCGAATGAGTAGAACAACTTTTGAATTTACGTTCAATAAAATCAAAGATGAGATTAGCACTCATATTTTGGACAGAGGCAGGCATACTATATCTCCAAAAGCCCAATTATTGGTGACATTATGGCATTTTGGAACACCAGACTCTTATCGGTAAGAGCTACATATTAATTAAGTAACTTTTTTGAAAAAAAGAAGATGGGGTACAAATGAGAGACAAATTCAATTAGTAAAAGGAATAACTAAATTAAAATTCTACAATGTACTATTATTCTATTAATATAATTCACAACAAACAAAACTTTCAGGTCTATTTGTGGTCGTTTTAACATTGGAAAGGCTACAGGTCTTCGGACAGTAAGAAGGGTCACAAATGCCTTAATTTTAATCAGTCCTGAAATAATTCAGTGGCCCTCAGGAGACTATTTGGAGGAAGTGAAAAACGGTTTTCACGAAATGGGAATGCCAAATACAATAGGATGTATTGATGGAATGCACGTTCAAATTCCCAAACCTAGGCTACATGGACAGTCTTACATTAATAGGAAAAAGTTTGCCAGTGTAATATTACAGGTACCTAATACCCCAAGAGTACACTGCAAATTTTGGCAGTCATCTGATAATGAAATGAAACAATATGCAATTAAAAGGGCATAATGTCCCATTCGTGAATAATCCACATGTGCCTCGATTTAACCTGAACTAAGTTGTTGGCACAGTGCATTTTATAAGATGCGCCTTGCCTCACACTATTTCATATACAAAAAAATCAATACCATGATTATATGTTTATATTTAGAAGTTTAGAAAATATTTTTTAATAATGCTATTTTATTATCAATGTTTTTGAAAAACCTAAAAATGCAAAGTTTTATGTATTTTTTTTTTCAGGGTATTTGTGATCATAAACTTAAATTTACACATTGTTATGCTGGCGAAGTAGGTGGAAATCATGACAGCACAGTATTGAAAAGGAGTGAAATTTGGACATTTATTAATGAAGAAAATGTAATAAAATTTCCCAACGACACACATTTGTTGGGAGACAAGGCTTATCCTTGCCTCCCTGAATTGATAACTCCCTACAGGGACAATGGTTTCTTGACCAATGAACAGAAACAGTTTAATTTTTTGTTATCCAGAACTAGAATAACAATAGAAAGAACATTTGGGTTACTCCAAAATAGATTTAGGTGTCTTAAGGATTGTCTGAATGTCAGAAAATCAGAATGGATTTCAAAATACATCATTGCAATCTGTGTATTGCACAATGTATGTATTGATCAAAATGATCTGCTCAATTTTGAAGAAGAAAATAATAATAATAATAATAATGAAGAGGAAGAACAGAGAAATGCAGGTTATATTAGACAAAGATTACTGTTGGGGAGAGCAAAAAGAAACAGATTATGCCAGCTTATTAATAATCAATAATACAGACTATCTTCTATTATTTTTGACACATTGCATTTGATAATTGGAAAATAAAAATTATAACTTTCTTTCGTTTTTTATTTCAGCAATTCCATACATTGTTAAGAGAGGTATAGAATTACTTTTTAAAACAAACATAAATTATTAAAATAGAAAATAAAATAAATTCTGATAAAACTAGCTAACTGCATAAAACTCTTTAAAAAAAATAAATATTAATACTAAATATTCACATTAAACTATGTAGAAACGTTAATTTTTGTCACCATCAGGCTTGTAATTTTTGAATATAATTAAACATGAAAAACTTTAAAACAAACATAAATTAAAACTTTAAAATAGAAAATAAATTCTGATAAAACTAGCTAACTTTGCATAAAACACTAAAAAATAAATATTAATACTAAAAATTCACATAGAACTAGGTAGAAACGTTAATTTTTGCTATCATCAGGCTTGTAATTTTTCTTGAACCATTCTAACATATCTTTTTTAAGATCCATCTTTTCTTCATGTCGTTTTTGTATTCTAGCATCCAACTGTTTGAGAGACATTGTGTTTCTTTTTTTTTCATCTGGAGAAAATTTGTTTTTTTTATTTTCTTCTGAACTTTCTTTGTTATAAGGCCTTTTTAATTGTCCACTACTTGAAGACGTACAAGCACCTGAAAATCTTGGATCTTTTTCATATATTTCTTGGAAATCTTCGAAATATTTCCAACTGACAGTGGCATTTCCTGATTTGTCATTTTCTGTTCTTACTTTGTCATATTTTTTTTTTAGATTTCTCCATTTTTCATCACATTTTGAACCGTCCTTATTAACATTATGTTTTAGCAAGTCTCTACTTATTTTTAACCATACCTTCTTTTTTGGGCAAGTTTGAAATTTTTCTTTATGCTCTTTATATTTTTCTATTAATAATTTAGTTTCTTCATCTGCCCAAAAACTTTTTTCCCCTTCATTAAAAGATTGTTCTTCAGCTTCTGCCAGTGCAGCAACCTCTACCGAAGATTGTTCTGTTTTATTTTCTTCTACTGGAATGTCGCTAACACAGATTCTTTTTTTTTCAAAATCCAATGTCACATTGGAGGCAGATTTAAAACATCGGTGCTTCGCAGCGATGTCATTTGCGATAATAGTGGTTAGTGTACCTAGCATGGCACCACAATGATTGCATAGAAAAACGGAGTTATCCTACAATGAAAATTACATTAAAACTCAAAATATTTTGATAATAATTTTCAACATACCTCTACAAGACCCTCCATTTTTAAAACCGAAAAATGTACAGTAAAAAAATAACGTTTTTGTTACTAAAAGAATGCAATACCAAAACAACCACAGCATAAATATAAGACACCCAAATTCAAACATCAACTCCAACAAAAAATGCAATGATTTGACATGAGACATTTGACATTTACAAGCGTTCCGTAAATATTTCACTAACCAATAACCAAAAAAGAAACCGTCCTGAAAATGCTAGTAACCGCTTTAACCGCGCCGGTAATATTCGGTGATATACGGAACATGCTATGTATTGTTCTTTATACTGGGCTATGACAATTAAGATTTGCAGTGTGACATAATATGTCTAAAAGAAATACAATGTTGCCATATCAATTATCTATTACATAGCAATGGTAATTTTTACCTATGCCCTGCGTTGTACCAGGCCAACCAAGTGACTTCAGTATCAGAAAAATTATATAAAACTAACGATTTAAAAAATACTCATATTAAGATCTTCTTCCTCACCCTCATCGGCAGAATACTCTTCGACGACCTAACCTAAACTAACAATATACAATAAGAAGATGAAGCAACGACTTCTTGTAGGGTGGTGCTACCAAAAAATTTACGGCCAACGAAGGAACGACTTCAGAAAATTTTTAAATCATACCTGGCTACGCCGACCGGCATAAACTCCAACGGCCTGGACACAGCTCAAATTGAAAAAAAAAACCTAACCTAACCAACCCACATTAGCGTCTGGCCAGTGAACCTCGATCCCAACTTTTAACGAACGTGTCTTGTATCGTGGGCATCTAATAATAAGAAAATATACAATAAGAAAATGAAGGAACGACTTCTTGTAAGGTGGCGGCTTCGCCACCACCAGAAAATTTTTAAACCATACCTGGCTACGCCGACCGGCATAAACTCCAACGGCCTGGACACAGCTCAAATTGAAAAAAAAAAAACCTAACCTAACCAACCCTCATTAGCGTCTGGCCAGTGAACCTCGATCCCAACTTTTAACGAACGTGTCTTGCATCGTGAGCATCTAATAATAAGAAAATGAAGAAACGACTTCTTGTAAGGTGGCGGCTTCGCCGCCACCAGAAAATTTTTAAATCATACCTGGCTACGCCGACCGGCATAAACTCCAACGGCCTGGACACAGCTCAAATTGAATAAAAAAAAACCTAACCTAACCAACCCACATTAGCGTCTGGCCAGTGAACCTCGATCCCAACTTTTAACGAACGTGTCTTGTATCGTGGGCATCTAATAATAAGAAAATATACAATAAGAAAATGAAGGAACGACTTCTTGTAAGGTGGCGGCATAAACTCCAACGGCCTGGACACAGCTCAAATTGAATTTTTTTTTTTTTATATATTAGATAAGTACCGACATGCCGTAATTAACGTACAATCATCTTGAAATGAAATAAAAAGACGGTTGTCTGTGATTACTACAAATGTTTTCACTTACGACCGATTCCACCGTTGTGTTAAACGGAGATTAAAATGACATTGTTAATGTAAAAATGTAATTCTAAACTTCGTTTAACACAACGGTGGAATCGGTCCTTAGAGATCCAAATTTACCTGCTAGCCAGACACTATGTAATTTTTCAGCCAACTTTCACTAACCGAATTATTTCCTGACTTATATGTTTTCTTACTCGATTTGGCAACACCGCATTTATAGAAACTAGACACATCAATTGTCATTAAAAATAATTTAGTGTTTATTTATTTTTGTAACAAACTAAAAATGAAAAATAAGAAAATTTGGTACGGTTTATTGCTCTATGAATGGTCTTATATTGATATTTAGCCGTTTCTACAACGAGAAATCAGTGAAAATGGTTTATTTTACATTTCTTTTATGATGGAGACCAAAATTGTTATGTATAGTGTGTTTCAAAGTGTCTAGAAACTCTTGATAACATTTCAATATTATATCCGCCGTTCGAGTGTCGGCGGCGTATAATACCGCAATACCTATATGTTTTAATTCATCACATTATTAAAAGTAATGTTTTAGAATAATTACAAGAAAGAAATACATTTTTATTAATGAAGCAGCAACTAAATATAACCACTATATAAAATGATAGACATACCTTTACGTTTCACTTAAATTCGGTCCATTTTTATTTTAGAAAACTATATTGAAATTTGTTAAATTATCCAACTTCTTAGAGGATTATTGAGATTTACCAAAACAAGATGCCCACCGGTTCCATTTTGTATGATCGCGGTTTTATCCTACTATCCTGAGGTGGTAATTTCGAAGTTTTAGCACTAGTATATTGAAGTAACTTACTTTTTATAATGTTTTAACTGAAATTACATTTGTAAAATTATGTTTCACTTGTTATTTTCATTTATATTACAATAAAATAAGATTTTTTTCAATTTTTTTGTCTGTTTTAACCTAACATTTAGAATTATTTCAATTATTTCACAATGTCAATCCACAAAACATAAAACAAATTAATTCATGAGGCGAGTTCGGATAGTCAGGAGCTGGAGTGGGACAAAAGCGGAGTTTTTTATGGTGCTTTTAAATGACATTTAAGCGTGTTAAACTGTCACTAATCGGACTAAACCTAATGAACAGGGGACCTATTTTCAAACTGTGTGAGTACTCATTTCTCTCAAGATTCTCATCAGAAATGTCATACGTCAATGTGGAAATGTTGTTTTTAGAGGCATCGAGGATTAAAATTCTTAGGAAGATTTTAATTCTCTCTAAATAAACCGAGAGAAACAGTCAGTGAGTTCACACTGGCCCTAAGAGCCCTAAAAATACGGTTTTACGTTGACGTATGACATTTCTCTTGAGAGAAATGAATTCTCTCGAGTTTGAAAATAGCCCCCCAGGGGTGCTATTTTCAAAGTTGAGAGAATTCATTTCTCTCGAGAGAAATGTCATACGTCAACGTAAAACAGTATTTTTAGGGTCCTAAGGGCCAGTGTAAACTCACTGATTGTTTCTCACGGTTTATTTAGAGATAATTAATATCCTCCTAAGAATTTTAATCCTCGAGGCCTTTAAAAACAGCGTTTCCACATTGACGTATGACATTTCTGATGAGAATCTTGAGAGAAATGAGTGCTCCCATACTTTGAAAATAGGTCCCCTGTGATGATGTAATAATGTGTTCTGTGATAACCCCAATAAACTAGAGTGGGGTAGAATGCTTGTCAATAGATTTGATGTGCGTGAAACAGAAAATGGTTATGATAAATAGTCCCGAGTGAGATGAACAATAAAAATGGCTGCGCCCATCGAGTCGCACCTTGTTCTAATTAGGCATTCCAAACTGAATGACTACCAGTGGGTTTTGACAGGTTATGATGTGGCAAAGTTATGGCAACTCTGTAGGCCTGGTGATTTGACAAGGTGAGTGAAATAGATAGTTACATAGATTGATCATCCCTATTTTTTTGAAATAAACATAAGCTTATGCCTTGAAGTAAAAGTATAAGCAATTATTATTTTTTAAATATCTAAAGTCTGAAAATTGGTTTTAAAACACATTTTTGCTAAACTGATTCAAATTAATAAATATTTGCCAGGCAATATGGCTGCTCGCTAACGACCAGCTTTGAGCAATGTATATAACATATATGTATCATTGACCCTGTTAATGACAACATGAAAACAGGGTTGCCATATCTAAACTGTCAGTACCCACTGGTAGCCATTTGGACAGGTTGTTGGAATGCTTAATAGTAGAACAGAAGTAAAAGTTGGAAATGCTTTTGCCAGTTCTCCCACTTTATACACATAAATTGACAGGTTTGCAGCGGATCTCACCGAAGTGAACGCGATACATTGGCGTACAAAATTATTTTATAGATGTTAATAACAATTTCGAGTAAATAGTTTAATAAATTGTGAATAGCTGTTGAAATTTTGTAAAATTATAATTTGAATATTATAATACATGTTTAATTATTATTTATAATCCATAAATACATGCGATTGTCCGGTTCCGCCGATAACAATTTAAAATTACTTATTCTATGAAACGACACTGGCAGGTAAACATTACTGTGAAATTCTCGGAGCCGCCCGACGTGGTTTGACGTTTACCCCCTCTCTACCTACCAAAAGACTTTTCAACTTTTACTTTCTCTATACAACAGGTTTGTTCTGGTTCTCAAAATGAAAACTGTTTTGAAACTGCGCCGGACCGTATGCGTAAAGGCAAAAAATCCCCGACTGTTTGAAATTGTTGGAAAACCAGAACACGTCATAAAGGTGTTTTGTTTATTGTTTATTGTAATAATGAAGTTCCTTTTGAAAGCTCAGCTTCAAATAACATTTGCATGTATATGTTTACCATTATCATCACATTTCAATGGAATAAATAAAAACAGAAATAATATTAAAAAATTAATAATTCTAAAATTGCTTTATTTTACAAATAAAACAAGAACAAGAGACATTCGTCCACATATAAATAAACAATTTGGGATTGTATACGTTTCGTATAGTCTAAAAAGCTAATACAATATTCATAAACTTCAAAAACGCATGCGCGGTCAAAACAGTCCGAGTCGATCCACACTCCCAAGCATGAACACTTTTTGACTGTTTACAACAATCACGGATTATTTCGGATACGAAACCAGAACACTGGACTGAGAGATCCGAAGTAGTCCCAGAAAAACCAGAACACTTTTTATCTACTGCGCATGAGCCCGACAGTTGTGGATCGTTATTTCTCAAAACCAGAACAGACCTACTATTGCTGCGTTTGAGAATCCACATCGGATGCATTTTTTACATCTCGAGCGTTTTTTTATCCACATCGGACACATCTGTCCCATTACATTTACGTATACTGAATCACGTGATCAAAGATTTTTTACATCTCAGATGCATCCGATGTGGATTCTCAAACGCAGCATTTGTACATTGACATTCTACCCCCTCCAGTTCATTGGATAACCATGTGATCAGGGTATGCGCACTTGGATATACACATTCCATTCACATTCCACTGTTAGTACTATGCACCAATCTCACAGAGGGCGTTACTATAATTCTTCGTTTTTACTGTAACGTCAGTTGTTTTTGACATACCAAAATTTGTTATTTATCGTTTGTCCTTTGTGGGTGACTGGATTTTATTTTTTGCGAATTATATTATTGGAAAATTGAAAAGTACATTTATTTTATTAGTTTTTAATCTGTTTTTCGTGTGCTTCTTGGTTTTTTGTGTGTTTTTTTGGGTTTTTGCTAGTGTTAGAACTTGTATTCGTGCTTTGTTAATATTTAAGACATTTATTATTTGTTTTTAAATCTGCCTTAACTTTTCAAGTAGATATGTAAATAAAATTCCACATTTAGCATTCATTATAATTGTAACTTGAATTACAAATACTATTAAAATAAACAAGATAACACAAAAATAGTATTCTAATTTAATTAAATAAATTAGAAAATTTGGCTTTAATTATTTAGGGCCGATTCCACCGTTGTGTTAACGAAGTTTAAATTACAAACGAGGATTAAAATTACATTTTTACATTACTATGTCATTTTAATCTTCGTTTAGTAATTTAAGCTTACTTTAACACAACGGTGGAATCGGCCCTTTAGTAAACAAATGAAAATGACGTAACCTCAATGTTTGTTTTCTTGACTGAGGACTTTGGTTAATTCTGCTTCTACACGAAACGTGCATATTTAAATAAGGCTTGCAGCCAATGATCGTTTTCTAATTTATGGTCTTTTACAATGTAAGACGTCTAGCTACATTATGCGTCCCCAAACCATCAGATGGCGCTCAATTCATAGTTTGATGATTTAACATTGAGTTGCCGTTCTATTCGGCTCTATCAAGCTAGCGGGCACTCTGTGGCGGCACCATACAAGACCTGGTGGGTTTTTTGTAGCTTTTTTGTAGCTTTTTTGTTACGCTATTTGCGAATTTGTAGCTTTGCCCAGGTCCGAAAAAACAGCGGATCCGCTAGCTTGAATTTCCATAAATTCCATAGTAGCGGCACAGATTCAGACCCAGCTGGTTTTTCGTAACTTTTTTGTAGCTTTTTTGTTACGCTAGTCTCCCTTTTGTAGCTTGTACTGAACCTGAGAAAAGCGCGGATCCGCTAGCTTAGCGGATATTTTTAGCGGCACCAGCTCGGACCAGGCTCATTTTTTGTAACTTTTTTGTAGCTTTTTTGTTACGCCTGTCTCCATTTCGTTGCGAGGCCTGAACGTGAGTAATAATCGTTTCTCCATGAACGTGAGAGAAAAGTGCGTTAATTAAAATCAAGTTTCAGCCTCTACCTCGATAGTGTGACTATCTGTTGATAGATGGCACAAGTATTGCATTTCACGAATTATGGCCATCTTCCATCCAATATATTTTTGAGAAATTTAGATATAATCCAAAGAAGTAGAGAGGGTAGAACGATAAGGTACCGTCCATGGAGGAAAGATTATTAGTACCGTCTGCGTATCCATCACGAGTGTAGAAATTATGCGTGATTCAGCCTTCCACTCTTACACACGTAAATGACAAGGAGAGGTTGCCCTAAAGCACTGTAAACAAATTCCAGGATCGACTTTATTCAGCGATTATGTTCATGTTCAGCTCTGTTTTTTGTTTGTGTTTTGGCTGTTGTAAGATTTTTTGGCGTCAATTCTTTGTTATCTTGCTTATATTTATGATTTTTTATGCTTTTATTCCGATTTAGTATTAAATTATACTTGTTAATTATTTTTCGATGCACTATTTTATAATTGTTGCACAAAATGTTGTTAAACCGTCCCTGAATTTTATTTACAAAATGGGCAAAACGAAATTGTGCATAGTGTCCAGCAGGGTTGCCAATCGTACGGTAATTACCGTACTTTTACGGTAATTTCAATTAATGTACGATATATGGTCCAAAGTCATTACCGTACATAAAAGTACGGTATTTACATAAAAAAGTACGGTGTACGTACGGTATTTAAAATGCAGCAGATGTTCTTAAAAACTTCAAAAGGACCTAGTCTGTACAAAAATATAAGCTAATATAAGGCCTTTTTTTAGAAGCTAGGTAAAAAGGACCAGACGATGATTAAAATATAATATGATGAGGACTTTTTTTTTTTTTTAGAAACACGACACGAAGAGTTACACAATATAGTTTTTTTTTACAAAATACAAGTGTACGGTACTGGCAGGCCATGTACGGTAATTTGAATTGCGCGGTACGGTAAATGGAATTTGAAAAGTTGGCAACTTTGGTGGCCAGACTTTTTCATTGACAGTTATCATTCTACCCCTAATTATCCTTCCTCCATGTTCTACCCCTCTCCACTTCATTGATATAATCTCAAAATCGGACATTTGTTTTTAAATGTTTTTTAGTGTTGTTTATGTATTTATAATTTTGT